ATAGAAATAATTATTAAAATCATGTATTATATGATTATAATCAGACTTTTTTATGATATCATGATATTTGGAAATTTTCAGAAAAATGGACTTTTAATTTTTTTGCATTACCCTTTAGATAAAATGAAAAACATGCAAAAGTCAATTTTTCTGAAAATATCACAATTTTTTCGTTTTTTTCTGAGGGATCAATTTTTCCGGAAATTTAAAAACCCTAATACTTACTTAATACTTCGTACTGTTTGACACAAACAGCATTAATAATAATATTAAAAGTAGACATTATTAAAATTATAAGAATAAAAAATATAAAGAAATTCCAAGAATAATAAATTAAAATTTAATTCGTGTGACTGTCGTATGATTTATTTATGTTTATGAATCATATTGCTGCTAAAATTATATTTATGTGTATTAAAATTTAGGTCGACCGCAAAAAATAAAACAAATAAGGTAATATTGTTATCGAGATAAAAATAAAAATGACAAAAAACATTTTTTCTAATCCCAACTTTAAAACGCCCATTATCGTACATGTTTCCATGGCACTAAGTGACCTTTTAAATACACATTTGTTGTGACTTTATGGCCTTTTAGTGAAGGGCTGAAGTTAGCAACAGGTTTTCAGGTTGGTTGCTCTATTGTTATATAGATATCGCTCTATACAAATACTTCATTTAAATCATTTTTAGATAATAATAAGTATTTGTTGAGTAAAAAGTATAGTATGCAAATCGTTTATAAACTTTTCTAGATACGTATTTAATTAAGCACTCGCTCACAAGCTCGCGTGTCCAAAATGGCGTTTATCAAACTTGATACATAATATACTATATTTTAATTGTTTAATTTATAAAATTTTATATTGCAAATACAATTTTCCACATCAACTATTAGCAATTTGGTGTGGGAATCTAAGATTATGCTGTACAAAATGTCCACCTGTTAACGTTATTTTAATAAAAAATTGGCCAACATGATTGTTAATGCAAAATGTATCTGTACTCCACCTTAGTAATTTTGGTTGACGAAAAAACATAATGTTATAAGAATAATTTTACTCTTTAAATTCTATTTAACACCACAGGTATCAATCAGAGGTGGAATATTAACATCAAGACACTTTAACTTCATCGAATCGAAACTGGACCAATCTTGAATATAAATTAATTAGCACACGATCGTTATCTGGTCACTAAACGCCACAACCAGCTGATTTTAACCATAAAAGAGATATTTTATTCACCACGCGATTAAAGAAATTTCAACGTTTTACTTTTATTTAATTTAATCTTGAGAACCATTAAAAAAGTGTAAGTACCTATCTGTGTATCTAAATTGTGTTTCAATGGTTTTGCCAACATTTGCCACAAATGTAAATTTTTAATGAATGTAGATTATTGCCCACTGTGCAAGCATATTTTGCGTCAGTTGTCAAAGGTCAGGAACAACCAGTGGCGGCCCAAAATTTCTACTAAATTTTTACTTTACATATTACATTACATATTTACAATTTTAATGATTTTTTTATTAAATTTCTTATTTTGGCGTGTACTCTCATCCACTTAAGGGATGATAATTTATTTGGTGACACCCTGTATTTCTGCAGAAAAACAAAATAAAAAGCATAGGAGTGTTGGCACAAGACATAAAATATATTATTTTACAAATTAGTATACTAGTATACAGTGTGTCCCCGGAACGGATTGCCAATAGGAACAACTTTTTTAGACCTGATACAGCTAAACCGAGCACGGATTTGGAATCTACGAACAAAAATTATGTTTACGTGTCCGAGCGTTTAGCTGTGATATTTCAAAAGTTAAAAAATTACCCACAGTTTAATGGTTAAATTTGTAGCCATAAAGGAAATATTAATTTTTGGCGACGGATTTATAATATAAACTGCTGAAAAGTTACTAAGGAATTTTTAATACATAACATATTTTTAATACATAACATATGTATATACCATAAATAAGCACAAAACTCGACGGAAAATATTAATTATTCTGATTAATATGAGTTGTTATACTTCAATAGGTAATATGTGTGAGTGCGAAAAATCCGCATAATAGTTATTTACGTGTCAAGCTTTGTAAATGAATCTTTACGGGCGAGCGAGGCAGGAGCGAACCCTATAACCCAGTGAGCCTAGTAATTTACTAGTAGTAAAGATTAATTGCAAAGCGTGACACGTACAAACAAAAGTTTAAATTAATGTGTCAAATGTGACATTTCATTTTATAAATAGCTTTTCTGCAAGCCTGTAAAACTTTACAGTTTTTTTATACAAGCCCACAATCCACAAGCCCGTAAAAGGGTCTGTTCTCATAATGTTTCGTTTACTTGGATACAAAAACAACAAAATTAACCTATAGAATTTCATTTACTAAGAAGGTGGAAATAAAAACATTTTATGTTCAATTTATTATTATAAAATTTAATTTTGTATTAAAAATTTTGAGCAGCTTAGTATAAACAAAACACATGTGTCCATCGGCCGTGTAAATATTTCTCAAATAAAAACCAATACATCAACATATTCTACCAAACAATTTTAAAGGGTGATTCTAAAGTTCCTTAGAACATGGGGTCAAAAATGCCTTATAAGGATAGAACTTAACTTCATAACGCAAAACCAAACATTTTTAAAGCGATTTTTCAGTGGTTTTGGACCATTTTAAAAGAAGGACCTTTCTTGTGTAAAATTAAATAAAAACTGAAAATAGAGGGCGGTACCCTATGACCCCCCTCTGTTTGTCCCGTTTTCTCATGTTAATATTAATTTTCCAACAGAATAGTTGCATTTAGATTTTATATATGTTACCGGCAATGTAAAAAATCCGGCAATGTGCGAAATATCTAATTCTGCAAACTGACCAATTTACCAGACATTGTGCAAAATCACTACCATTTTGGGCAATCTGCAAATTTACTACGCTATTTTAGGCAATCTGCAAAATGTCTGATGCGATAGTCAATCTGGTATGGGGATTAAAGTTTTTTAATTCTCACATTGACTAGGCAGTGTGCGCAATACTTTTACTTCTGTCGAACTTCGCTATTCAGTCATCCCTGCAAAAATAAATCAAAGTGACTAGAAGTACACCGGGGAGTACGGGCATTAAACGTACACTGGGTGGAAAAAATCCTTATTTAGCAAATTTTTATATTTGTAAATGGGGCGGGGGGCAATGGGGCGGGGTCGGTTGGGTTGGGTTGCTAAGTTTGGGTTGGTTTGAGTAATTCATACTGACATTTCATTAATTTTGTTGTTAATTATATTTCAATCACTTAATTAAATTTTAATCAATGTTTATATAACTTAAAAGTTAGCTAAATAATTTTTAATGTTTTCCAACTGTTATACAACTGGGCCTTAGTGTACCAATTTAATCTCAACTTATAAATCTAAAAATTTACCATCAGCTGGTATGGAAACACGCATGCGCACAAACCTGATGTACGTTTAATGCCAGTACCTACTCCCGGTGTACTTCTAGTCACGGCGAAAATAAATACCTTTCTAAAAATGTTTTATTTTACCATATTTTGTTGGACCATTATATAAATAACAAGTGCTTGTAAATTTAATTTCTATTTGTAGTATTTCTTTTCTAAAAACAAAATTCAGTTTTTCAATTTTACATTTATATCGTAAATTAGTGTTGCGCATACTGCCTAGTCAATGTGAGAAGTAAAAACCTTTAATCTCCAGATTGACTATCGCATCAGACATTTTGCAAATTGCCTAAAATAGCGTAGTAAATTTGCAGATTGCCCAAGATGGTAGTAATTTTGCACAATGTCTGGTAAATTGGTCAGTTTGCAGAGTATCTAGACATTTCGCACATTGTCGGATTTTTTACATTGCCGGTAACATATATACACTTCGAGTGAAATTTAACGCACCACTAAAAATTTGCCACAATTTAAAAGTTGATTTTCTCGCGAACCGTCAAACCGAATTTAGTAATTTTTGTTTTAAATTGTATACAACCTATAGGTTTATTCTTTGGTTATGATCCCTTTATTAAAATATGTTTTCAAATTTACGTTTTAAGTATATACAGGGTGCAAGAGTAATAATAAGTTTTTTCCTGTAAATTTGAAACGCCCTGTGGGTTGTACCAGCTATAACAGCATATGTCTCTTATAATCAAACTACAGCCCTATCTTCTATTAACATTTTGTTTTTTAATTCACCAGGTTATCTTTATTTTTAAAAGAAATATACAGTTAAATATTAAAGAACTCCAGTTTAATAAAAAATTGTAAAAAGAACGATTGTAAGAATAACAATAAAAATATGTACATCCACGAACAATGACGAGTTCTGTGCGAGCTCTCAAGGTAATTCCTCCCCAAACCATTACAGAACCTCCAATTAATATCGTGGTTTCACGAATGTTACACTGTGAAAATCACTCATTTGGACCTCGGAGAACCCTTACTTGCTGATCAGAGCTGAATAAACAAAACCTGGACTCGTTTCAATACCTTTATGCAGACAACTTAAATGAAAATGACAGTTTCTGACCTACCTATGTTAAATTCTTTCATTTTACATTAAACTGGAGTTATTTCGTCTTTAACCGTATATCTCATTAAAAAAAATAGATAGCGACGTGAATCAAAAAACAAAATGTTAAGAAAATATAGGGCTACAGTTTAATTATATGAGTCATATGCTATTAAAGCTGGTAAATACTCAAAATGTAAATTTGAAAAAATAGTTCAATAAATACCGAAGAATTAACCTACAATTTAATAAAAAAATCACGAAATTCGGTTTGACGGTTCGCGAGAAAATTCACTTTGAAGTTGTGGAAATTTTTTAGTGATGCGTTAAATTTGACGCGAAGTGTATATATATATATATATATATATATATATATATATTATTGGATTTACGGTTTGTCTCTTTCCATAAATAATATTATTAAACATTGTTTTGAAATAAAAATAAATTTTATATAATTCATATTTATTTTTAGCCCGATTATTATAGAGATGCATCTCATTTTCATCTAGTAGGAAGTGGTCCAGAATACCGACTAGAAATACCAAATGCTAAATTAGATTACACAGGAACATACACTATATATGCCAAAAACTGCAATGGAGATGCCAAAGCAATTATTTCTTTGCAAATAAAGGCAAAAGGTGAGAATCAAATTTGTATTAAAAATACATTCTGTATTTATACTATGTAATTTGAATGAATTATAATAGTTATTTATGTATTAAGGGCATAATAAGGTTTTTATGGTCCGAGGCGCTATTTCGAGCCCGAGCGCGTTAGCGCGAGGGTTAGAAAAGCGTCGTAGGACCATAAAAACCAGTTATGCCAGCAATGCATACAAAACTTTATGCACGATTAATATATTATTATTTTTAATATATTATTGTTTTTAAAGACGTTTGCGTCAAAGAATTTTTGTTATAATTGTCATATTATAATGTCAACTGACATCAGTCAGTTTTAAAGTTTAAAGATAAATGAAATTGAGGAAGCAGCTGAAAAGGCGAAAAATTGCGGCCTGCTGCCGGTAAAATCAAAATCTTTATACGAAAAAACTTACTTCGAATATATCAAATGGTGTAACATTGTTGTTTTTAATTTTTGACGTTTCATTATAGCCCGCTGGGCCATAATAAAGCCCGCGGGCTATAAAAAGACGTTTACGTCAAAGAATTTTTGTTATAATTGTCATATTATAATGTCATCGTGCATAAAATAAATTATTACCCTATTTAAATTTTAAAACGCTCATCGTGTGTTAAATTTGATTATTTAATTTATAAAATACTTCGACTGGGTTATGATAATGTTTTACAATAATGCTTAAAAACTATAAAACTTTCATTTCCCTAAAATAATATATTTTATGGTTACATTAATTATAATTAATTAAAACATAAAAATCACTTAATTATTGTAAGGAAAAGAAACTTTTATTAATTAATAATTTAAAATATATAAGAATTTAAATTTAGCCTACATAATTAAAATATGTTATATTTATTTTGTAGATTCATTAAACCCACCTGTTATGGAGAATAGGAAAATTGGGTAAGTAATCAGACCATATAGGTAGTACAATTAGGCGATTCCATGATTAGTAGGGATGGGATATTTAGGTACTAAAAACTGAAAAATAGGTAACTAAAAAGGTACTAAAGAAAGCATTTTAGGTTAAAAAAACAGCATTTTAGGTAAAAAAAAATTAAAAGTTCAAGTTTCTTTTATAATTTTGTTTAGCCGCATACCCAAACACAGAACATACCCACAATAAACTATTTCTATGCAATAAACTGTGTTTCACTGAGTGACACTCACTACACAGAAATTCTATGACAGAACATAAGCTCAATACAAAGAAATACTGTAAAGAAAGTTACTGTTACAGTCTGTGACCCATAGAAATAATTTAGAATAATAGAATAATTTCTATGCTGTGACCATAAGAAAAAATTCTATACCGTTGAGTTGCACGCCCTGGATAAAATATTGGCGCAAATTTTAAAAAGAACAAAAAAAATAAAATAAGTAAAAATACGTAAAAATAGGTAAAAAATATGTTAAAATAAACTGACAAATTAAAAAATATGTAACAAAAGTATAAAAAGGTAGTTTAAAGCAAAAACCTCCAAAAAAGGTAAAAAAGGTGAAAAAAGTTAAAAAAAAATAGGTAACAAAAGTATAAAAAAGGTAGTTAAAAGCAAAAACCTCCAAAAAAGGTAAAAAAGGTGAAAACAAGTTAGGTTCATATAAAAGAAAATCTTTTAAAACACATTTTGGCATTATTGGTTTTCAAATAGTTACATCGGTTAAAAAAAGGTAAAATAACTAAAATCCCATCCCTAATGATTACTAACGGGACAAACAAAAACAAGACAAAATGTTTTATGAAAATTTTAAAGATGTGTTGTTCATATAATAATAATTTTATAATAGTTAATTTCATTAAAAATTATTATTATAGGAACAACACATTTTCATAAAACATTTTGGTTTTTTTTGCTTGTCCCGTTAGTAATCATGGAATCGCCCAATTGCTAATTAAGTATAGTTAGTATCAGTTAAAATTTTTTTGCATTTTGCTCTATCTAAAAACTAATAAAAATTAACTCATTTAGCATTAATATTAAAACATTTGCAGAGAGGTATTGTGCAAAATAGTTAGTACCCTTTTATTATTTGATAACACAGTGCCACCGTTGATTGAGAATATCTTTACTTAACAGTGCAAAACTATTTTTTAAACAAATACCTCACATTCAGCAGCATATTAAGTCATTTGTGGGCTCTTGGCACAACATATTAGATGGGGCCCTCACCTTTTAGGCCTTCAAGTCACAGGTATCCTTTTTACAGACTAATTTGGGTACGCTTAATCTAAAAATAAGCTTTGTGTTTGCGATATTGTGAATGCTGGTGTAAATAAAATCATGAATCAGTTTAGAGGGCCCCGGGCCAGGGAGTTAACCCGCCACTGCTGGCATGAAGACATTATAGTACTATTATATGGTTTGTAGTTAAGTCAAATTGGATCAAAATCACTTTATTTATTTTGTTTTTCGCAATTAGCATATGTTTTCTCATCTTATTTAAACTATTCCTAATTTTTAATATAAAAAACTAAATTAACAGGGCCTTACAAATTTGTTTGACCCAATTTGACTAAACTGCTTATATACGGGTTGTTAATAATAATTAAAAAATCTTACTTTTATTTCAAGATGTTATTTCTTTGTTCGGAAACTTTAGTCTAAAAATTGTTGCACGGATTTTGTACAATGCGCAATCCACATGGAGTTAAAGAATTATACCTACATTTTTGTTAAATATTCATTTGTTTATTTTCAGAAATGTTCAAACTATTCCTCGAATTGCAACAGAATTAAGAGATATAAGATGCTGTGACGGGGATTCTGCAACCCTAGAGTGTAAAATTGAAGGAACACCTCCTCCAAATATAAGATGGGAAAAGACAGGAAAGGTACATTTAATTAGTTCAACTAAAGGTTAAAATTTTATAAAAATCATGTGTTTATTGCAAATACTTTTCTTTGTCTAAAGTCGGACAATAACAACTGCATAACAACAACAACTTGTATTGCATTACCTAATGCAGTGCGTTTATTCTTGTTGCAGCTGATCCACTTAGGAGGTGATTTCAATGCCGACTTTGATGGCGAAACCGCCAGATTATCAATTAATCAAGTTTACCCTGAAGACGAAGGGGAATACACTTGCGTTGCGTATAACGAACTAGGAAAGGCGATTACATCCGCATGTCTTATTGTTGATTGTAAGTTATTACTATTTTTTTTACTGCTTACTTTCATTTAGAAATACATTGTTGTGTTTTTATGTGTTAATAAATAGTTAAAAATTAATAATTTCATTAATATTATAATGTTACTTAACTTTGCTTTTATATTTTTTAGCTTCATACAAAATAATTTAACAAATACATAAATCAAAACCCCTTATCGCGTACCAAGTTTAACTATTTTATTTTAATGACACATAAAGAAATTATTTCAAGTGAAACATATACCTCATAAACAAGATACATAATAATTGACTAGGTACTAAGAATGATAGTATCTACAAAATGTAACGTTAACCAAGAATATGCCGTTAATAAATTTGCTTGATCTGTGTGGCTTATGCTGTAATGCGTTTCATTCAGATAATATCAAATTATTAATAAAAACCTGAATAAACTGATACGTATCGATGCGGTTATTTGACTGAATACTTAAATTATAATTAATATTAAAATGGCATGAATAATTTATTAGAATGAACGAATTAATGTAAATTTTTAATGTATTGAAATTATTATCGTCTAATCTTACAATAATATTTCTGAAATTGCATTTCCCATCTCCAAAAATCATAGATATTACATAAAAATGTATTAATAAGAGCATGTGAAAATAGAAAGGAGCAATCCTAAAAAAACGAGTAAACTTTAAATATTGTGTAATAAGAAAATCGCGCTACCTACCTACCGACCGACCATTACATATATATAGCTCCAATCTGTGTTTTTTTGGTAGAGAAATTTACCATTTATATGCGCTAGATAGAAATTGTATTATAGTTTTGGGCAGATGATCTTTTATCAGAATCACCTTTAAAAAAACAAAAAAGAATATTTTTAAATCAATCAAACAAACTTAAATACTTCACTGCATATCTTAGATATCCGTTTTTTTAAACTATTTAATATTTTTTCAGTGCCAGAAGAAAAAGAAAATCTCCTTACCCAACAATTATGTCGCCCTGCTGGATTATCGGCAGGAACTACTCCAATAACTTCTCCGCGAATAACCCCCAAACGTAGCGTATCTCCCAGACTTCGCACCATCGACCATTCAACCATGGAAGCAAGGCTACGCAGAATTAGAGCCACCGCTCCCAAGTTCTACGCAGTACCTCGAAACAAAGTGGCAGAACAGGGTGAAACTGTTCGTTTTCAATGTTCAGTAGCTGGACATCCCGAACCTTGGGCTACATGGAATAAAGACGGCAAACCAGTGACTCCATCTGCAAGAATTAGGATTACTGAAATGGAAGATCTAAGAATACTGGAGATCAGAGAAGTAGTTCTCGATGATTCAGGATTATATAAAGTGGCCATAGAGAATGATGTTGGAAGAATCGAATCTACGGCAAGGTTAGACGTTATCGCTCACCGAGTGGTATCAAGTGAAGGTATAAGAGCAAGAAGCTTGTCACCAAGGACTGCACCAACCTACACAAAAAGCTACATTGGAGCTTCAGCCAGATTAGGCAGCACAACAAGATTGTCTTGCGATATCAGAGCAAGGCCTTTACCATCATTAAGATGGCACAAGGATGGAATTCCTCTCGAGGAATCTCCAAAATACACAACATGCATTGAAAATGATGTGGCATCAATAGAAATTGATAATGTACAATTCGAAGATCAAGGAATGTACACCTGCGTTGCTACAAATGTTAATGGCACCGCTGAAACATCTGTGCAACTTGAAGTCACAAGTGATGATCATACACCTCCACAAATAGTGCAACACTTACCCAGAAACCTAAAGTCTCTGGAAGGAAGTGAGTTGCAGTTAAAATTAAAAGTTACCGGTACACAACCGCTTGATGTAATTTGGTTTAAAGACGGGTGTGTTTTGCCTAATTGTTCGGAATTTGTGCAAAATATTTATGACAGCGGATTTGTAACATTGTGCTTACCTGATGCATATGCTCAAGATTCTGGAAATTATAGGTGTGAAATATACAACATGTTTGGAGAGGCGTACAGCAAGTGTAACTTGGAAGTGTTAGGTTAGTGGTGTTTCCTAATTTTTATTTTAATATTTTTGGGTTAAAAAAATAGTTATCACCTATTAGTTAATTAATTATTACTTTATAATTATAAAATGCATACTTTAATATTTATCTTATACTTATTATTCATTGAATTAACGTCAAAACCAACATACTTAATATTATTATAATAAAAAAACGCTATCACAAATTATTATTATATTACTAAATACATTAATGCACGTATTAATTTATAGGTTGTCATTAATATGTTGACCTTTCCAAAATGAATGTTTTATTGAAAAATAAATGTATAAAAATAACAATTCATTAATTAATTTAATTAATTAAATTTTATAACATAAATGGAACAACTGGTTTTATGTTTTAAAATTTTAATAATCAAGGCCTTATAATTAAATTTAAGTATTGATTTTTTTTAACATTAAGAAAGTAATTTCATAATCTTCTTTTAAAATAATTTAGTAAAAAATTCCATACATGGTAAAACTACTAATTTTCAACAAAATTAATAAATAATATGGTGAACTGAGCGCTTGCAGTATCTATTTAAAACTGAAATTAAGAAATGTTGTAAATATACAGCTATATTAATTATTAAACCAACCTTTAGTTTAATTTTATTATTATTTTAAAATGTTTCACTTGCAATTACAATAACCATCCCCATATTTTATTGGACTCTACTCAAACGAATGCATTTAATTCAAATTATTTTGATTTAGCAGGTATTTTACGCCAAGCTGGCAAAAAAATATTGCTGATTTTGTTTATATTTGGGTAGGTTATTGCGCTACTTACCCTTTAGGAACACAAAAGTATAAATAGTAATACCTATTACTATTTATATATATATTTTTTGCAATATGAAAAATTTTAATGGTTTAATTTACAAAAAATATAATATGAAAAGGTAAAGAAGAAAATAGCAATTTTTCTCTCGCACTGATTAAAGTCGAAAATTTCGGAATTGTACAATAACATACTTAAATTTGCTTAAAGTTGCTCAATTTTAGAAATTAAAAATTTGTTTTAAATAAACTTTAAACCAAATCTTCTTGGTCCATAATTTGAGAGGATTTTTATTTACTAAAATCTTTATGAATAAACTTATAAAAATAATGTGTTGTAAACAAAATGCAGGGGAAATTAAATATTATTTTGTAGATTTGACGTAGGTAGATGAGTTCATATGATTGTTTTGTTTTGGACTGTCGTCATCGTTGATTTCTTTATTTCACCACGTTTCGATGAATGGTCTCTAATCGTCCTGATAGATGATAATGGACAATGGTTTCCACAACGGTTTTATGCCTGCACTAAGGTTGCTAAAAAAATATTAATCAAAACGACAATAAATTAAAGATAATTAAAGAAAGTACAAAAGAACACACTCATTATGGCGTGCTTATAAATTATGGTTCATAACATATCATAACATATATTAATGATAATTAACTGAAAATAAAACCCAACTTTGAGGAAGTATCGTAGGCTTTTTAGTTTTTATAAATTTAACGAATGGTATTTAGTATGCTGCAACTATGTTACTTAGAGTGACAGTTAATGTGAGTATTAAAAACTGGTCAATCTTTTGAAAAATCAAGGGGATATCGAAAATATTCTGAACTGGTTGGATATGGTATACCTGGCGGTCTAAAGGGTAAAATGTCAAATTTTCCTGTTCTTCCATCTGGCGCTTTCCCCCCTTTTACAAAAAAGCCTTAAATAGGAAATAGGAAAGAGATAAAATAATTTAAAACTTAAAAAAAAAAGGAATTTTGTCGCCGGGCCGGGACAAGGAGGAAAAACATTTTCGTTTTCGGGGGACATTATACTGACCCAAAACTAAGTACAATCCGGAATTCCCCTCAACCAGAGATTTAGTAATACCCCCATTCCATTGGTATTCATGGGGCTTGGTTAGTACGCGGCTATGAACCAACCCCACGCACCTATCCTTGCTGGTCTCGTAGTACTTCCTGTTCATTTGTGTCGGAGTCTGCTAAAAATCGGAAAATGCTGTATAAAAATATTTGCCCCACTGTGCGAAACCATTTCTTCAGTCTAGATTTTAAGCACTATCGATAGATAGTTTTCGATGGTGGGTAATGCAACTACCGATCGTTATCGATAGTTTTTAATTTTTTTTTGTTTTTAATGTTTATTAGCAAAGTAATGCGAAATTCTAATAATTCTGGTTATTGTGTGGTCCGAGCGATCCGTTTTCTACGTTTTGTGTAATTCATTGTATTACGTTTTCTGTTGTTCTTTTCTAGCAATTAAGTTGCATTTATATTGTAATCAATGCTTGCTCTTGACTTTTTTTTAAATATAAGTGTATTACTTTTGTTTGGTGCCTGAAAGTTATAGTGATGAGTGGTTTATTATGTTTATGTTAGGTAAAGTTAGGGACTACGTACGATTTATGGGTTTGTATTTTTAAAGTATATGCTTATTCTTGTGTTCGGTCTAACTTCCTTTGCTGAATAGGCATTATTCATTAGGCTTTTAAAATAATGAGAAAAAATAAACACGAAGGCTTGGCTGTTGACCGGAATTTTATAGAATAATTAACTTTTAGGTATTCTGGATTTAAAATGCTCTGTTTATAGCCGCTATGGTTAGATTTTGTGGTGCGAAGAAATATACTTCTGACGGGTACAAGTGATACTGTCGTACTGGGTTGATTTTGAATATGTTATTCCCGGTGCACCGGAGGGTGGAACATGGTCTTCATGCCATTTTTTCTTTACCAGCGACAGAATCCTGGTCTACGTGGAAGATCTTGATGATTTAAAGATTGTACTCTCTGTAAATAATAGGGATATATCAGTTGTTCGTGCATTATTTCCCAAACTGAACTTTTTGAAACGTCCTCTTGCATAGCAATTCTTCTAGGCTTGTCCCAGGATTAGCGGCAACTACTTCCAGGACCGTTTCTTTGTTTTCCACTGTTCGATTTCTCCCACAATCACCTTTGTTTACTTTAAAAGTCCCAGTTTCACACAGTCTTTGATGTAAACTGGTTCACATGGGGGTATACCCGGAAATGTTTCTTGGTTCAAACTTCGAGCTTTTACCATTGGTAAATGCATGTTGAAAAGTGCAATTTACCATTTTTGGTAAAAATTACAGTTTGTCCTGATTTATGTTATGACAAACGATTTAACGAATATCACCTCTAACAAAATAACACTATTTGCTACTAATTCGCTTGATTTTTTTTCGTAGCGAGACATTATTTTCGAAAACAGTTGGCCCCATGACTTTGTAACAAGAGCACCTTTTTTACGTAAAATTGTTAGGAGAATTGTATTCCAATATCGAAAAAACACTTAAAAAAATATGAAGATATTTTACCCGAGTAGACCTAGTTTCGCACGCCCTGTTGATTATTAATCCGATTTGACACAACCAGATTATTTCTTGCTGCAAAAAATTATCCGAGAGATTATGTTTCAAATTACAAGTAAAATAAATCTAACGCTTTTATGCTGCAATGAATAAAGTTTATTGTACAAACAATCAGAGCTTGGAAAGTTACTTCTAAAAATATCTAGTTACTTTTTTAAGATACTTTAAACAAAATAACTTAGTTACCTCCGGTAACTAGATACTTTGAGTTAAAAGTATCTAATCCCCCAATTTTCCGTAAGAAAGTACCTACCTATCTAAGTTAAACTAAAAAGTATCTAAGTTACTTTAAAAAGTATCTTAGTTACTTTAAAGTAGCTAAGTTACTTGAATGTATCTTAGTTACTTTACCGAGTAACTAAGATACTTTTTTAGATAAAAGTTACAAGATATTTTTCCAAAGTATTTAAGAAATAGAAACTTTCTGTCCAATATAAAAAGTATCTAAGATAAAGTATCTTAAGTATTTAAGTTACTCTTAGGTATCTTTTTTTTTAAGATACTCCCAGCTCTGAATACAATACAATAAAATACAATGTATTGCTAATTCAGTTTTCTTGCATTACAGTACCTAATAAAAGACAAATGGCTTCGAAATTTTAAGTATTATTACTAAATTCCGAGATAGGTTTCGAAAGATTTTCTTTTTTATGTTAATGGTAATAAAATGTTTGCTGTCCTTTTTTCAGAAAGCCAAGATGAACCGTCTCAACTAGAATTTTTAAAACTTCCTTCCCCAATTATGACTAAAGAGGGCGGAAATGCTTCTTTTTGCGTAAGAATTAGCGATACAGCTGGAAAGCCCTTCGAAGTAAGTTGGTCAGTAGCTGGCCAAGCGGTTGACATCAATTCTAAAAAATATAAGGTAAGTACAGTTGAGGAGCATCCGTGCAAAACCGGCTAAATCCATTTTATTTAGTTTTTTTTTATTTCGCATCTTTGGGTTAATTTCTATCGACAACCAAGATAATTCGGTTTAAATCCGACTATATCCATGTTAAAATCACATTTAAAAGGTAGCTTTAGGAGCAAAACCGGCCAAATCCACGTTTTTTATAGCAAAACCGGCTATATCCAATAAATAATAATGATGATGAGCATGTGGCTTGGATATGTCGATACTATTGTTCTGTTTTTTCATGTTTTCACTAAATTTATTTTGTTAATATTTTTGAATAATAACTTTATTAAACCTTTAGGTTTTTTTCACATTTTATTCGTAGGTTTTTGAGCAAAACCGGCTATATACAAAACATTTTTGTAATTTAGGCCTTAGTATAAAGTGCATAATTTTTACAGCCTTAAATATAACCTTAAAAATAATCTATTCTTTTTAAAATAAAAAAATATGCTAAACCGCGAAATAATAAAAATTGTTTAAATTATTGCTAGCTACACGATGTGTAGTACACATGCCTATATACTTCCGTTTTAAGAACTTTTTATGATACATAAAGCTAATTTAACATACAGCAACAAATTTAAAATAGATGCCATTAAAAACATAAATGATTTCCTTTTAAGTAAGCTATTCAAAATAAATATACCGTGGAAAAATAAACAATACATGTTTTTATATAAGCAATACAGATGCCTATGTATGATGCAGCCTTGGGTAACCTTTACGGTACAATTTCAGTCGGCAAGACGTAAGTAATCCTTATAAAAATTAATTTAAATGTTCTTATAAACAAATTTTTGTATCGTAGCAAAAATCAAGCGTCACAGAATACACTAATATTATTTTTTTTAAGTACTGCTATTGGGTATTTTGCGTATATAATGATAAACATTAAAACGGAAATAATGAACTCATTATTCACGTTGTTAGGCATCAGTGATTGGCCCATTTCAATATTCACTGAGATTTGAACCAACCGGATTTTAGATTGGGAGAATGCAACTATAAAAATATTTAAAATATTTAATTATAATTAACCTTTTTGGTTCAAACAAAAGCTATATTCTTTCTACAAAATAATCGGCCCGATAAATGAAATATTAGCGAATTATAAATTAAATTTGTTATATTAAATTACCTAACTTGTAGATGCCTGCTGCAGGCTGTAGATCCACACAACAAGGTCTGTTCGATCTCGTACTAAAAATACTAAAAATCACTGCAACACTGCATATCATTCAATGGCGGCAATTTTTGTTGTTTACAATTCTTCTGCTTTGGGTTTGTACAGAATAATAATCGTTTTAAAAGTTGTGTTTCTTACAAAGAGACTTGCAAGCCTTAAATGAGACCTCAAAGTGGTAAGAACTCCTCTTTTGTAAAAAATAAACCAGGGGTGTCAAATGTCAATTTGAAGGTTAATTTGTGGGTTATAAAATAACCTTAAATTAACCTTCAAATTGACCTTTGACAGCCCTGATAGAATAAGGTTTATTTTTATAAAAAAAAGTAAAATGATTGTTCTTACCACTTTGAGGTCTCTTTTAAGGCTTGCAAGTCTCTCTGTAAGAAACACAACGTTTAAAACGATTATTAATCTGCACAAACCCGAAGCACAAGAATTGTAAACAACAAAAATGGCCGCCATTGAATGATGTGCAGTGTTGCAGTGATTTTTAGTATTTTTAGTATTTTTAGTACGAGATCGAACAGACCTTGTTGTGTGGATTGTGGGCTTATCCATATTAGTTGTTTTCGAGCAAAATGTCAAAAACCTTACACGTGAGTACTAACGCATATCAGGCAAACACAATTCTTTAAACGAAATATAAAGGCATAAGTAAAACTGTTTTACTTATGCCTTTATAAATGTTTTACGAAATATATATATTTCGTAAAACATCAATTTGTAAATGAATTTTAAATGGAATAAGGTTAGTTTTAGGGTATAGGGATACATGTTAAATGTACAGACACCACTAACTCATTTTTATTAAGCCGAGTTTTGAAATGGTCCTCCTCAAATGTGCATTTTTTTAATATTTCACAACACTATGCGTAAAGTGACGTTTACTATAGTATAAGGTTGTCAGTTGCACCACTATTTGCAATCAAGCATCAATCGGGTGAAGTTTTTTACCTACTAGTCTGTAAAAACTTCGTTTGAACTAATCACAAAATTTTACTACTTTCTGCTTTAATAATTATTATAATTGCACGTTTTATGTATTGAACATAAAATTTAAGGTAAAATGTATGCCATTCCGTTAAGAAGTGTCTTTTTGTGCTTCTCTCAATTATAGGCCTCTGCTACGTGTCGGCATTCAAACTTTGAGCTAAGCACAAAAATACTCATTTCTAAGCCTTAAGACATAAATAACTATTATGTGGATATACCTATTTGGTAATTACATTTTTTGTTTTTAAGTTAATGTAATAAAAGATACATAAATAATACAGTAATTACATAAAAGAATTTGTGGAATGTACTCACACTTACGTAAAAAGACCGGTGTTAAAATTTAAAGGGCAATTAATTTTTACACTTAAAGTTTACAAAAAATGGCTGGCGTCTAAAGGCATATAAAATGGGCATTGTGCATAAAAAATTGAAAAGATTGATTGTTTGCAAGTTTAACATACATTTTTGCTGGTTTAATTTCCAAATTTAACGATCTCGGACTTTAAACAGACGTGTCCAAAATTAATGATGGAGTTAGGTATGTGCATATACCTACACTGTTAAACATATGGGTTAAAAACGGTTTAATTTAATCCTACTTTTAATTTGTTGACCATACGGAACAAATACTATTAAACCTCAATGTTATAATTACCAATTATCAACTTTTTTGTTTAAATTTGCTTTAACTATTTTTTCTGGAATATTTTTCTTTTTAATTGACATTGAAATATGCACGGAAAGAAATATATAGTCATTATTAATATAAATCTAGTAAGTTATACTATAATTTTTAATAAATATAGGGACAGCTATCTGATATTTTAAAATTTACTATAAAAATATGTTAATTATCTTTCATTATTGTTTAGTAAATTTAACTATATTGTATGATTTTTTTAAATATATGAATATAATTAATTTTAATATATGCCTTCTAGTAATTTGTACAAAAATATTATGTTAGCTTTTATTAAAATGTTATATTAATATTTAAAAAACAATATATTAGTAATAAATATCTTGGTATAATAATTTTAACTATATTTTTTTATAAGATTTACTATTTTTTTTCTTTAAATTATATTTTATTTGGTATGTTTTACTATAAATTTTAGTAAATATTAACTTGTTTTTATAGTAATATTTAACAGTTTTTTTGGTACATATAAACGGTGCACAGAGGGGTATTTAAGCTATCTGGGCGGTTAAAAATCGATTTTAAAAAAGTAAATTCGGGTAGAAAAACAAATTATTCCTCGAAAGAATGATCATAAGAGAACAATAATCTACTATTATTACCGTCCCACACGTGTAAACATACCTTCACAGTCAGTCGAAACTTTTAACATTTGAAGTGAAATTGTTGTTTGCGGCGTTACTTCAAAATTATTATTTTTCAAAGGTGATAGTTTCGTTTTGTGTTTTAATTTCAAGTGTATTGTTTTGGATTATACGATGGCAGGTAAGTGAGCATACTTTTCAGGTATTTTTATTAAGATAAGTTTCTATTATGAGCCTTATATGTGAAATTTAAAATAGCTTGTTATTGCTTTTGGTTTGGCTTATAATTTTTAAAAAGGACCAAATTAGTTGTACTTCCCGGAGTTCCCCGCCAAAATAAAAACTTGTATCATATATCATGATTATTCATGTTTACGACTTCGCTTAAAACTGCCACGGAATCACTTGTTTTTTGGAAATCAGAGTGTCCAACCTGTAAAGGTTCGAAATGACAATTATTTAGCAAATCTTGATTTATGTTTCTAATGATTTTTTATTTCTCTTAGGTCCATCAAACGTCAAAGTTTTTACTCGAATTAAGCTTTTCAACATGATGCAGAAACAAAATGTTCCCACAATTAATGAGAAACTTGATTTCATGGAAAATTTCCTGATAGGTTATGACGATTACACTGTTGACAAAATAAAGGAAATCAAGAATAATTTTTCACGTTTCAAGTCTGAAATAAAATTTCGATGGGCTGCAGCATATAATAAAGAGGAAACTTTTACTAAAAAGAATAAAGATTTGTTGAAAGTTAAATTTACAATTTTGAAAGTTACTAGTCGACCGGGGCGGCCTAAGAAAATATTTCAAGAATTAAGTGAGAGATCACAAAAAAAGTGTAACAGTGTAGATGTGGAGGTCATTTTCTATGATCTTTTGAATATAGCTGGTATAAATGCCCTTTGCGTTTATAAAGCAAACCATCCCCAAGAAAAACTATCTAGAACTGAATTTATTGAGAAGTTTGCCTGGAAATTAATCAGGCCACAGATAGAAGTAAGATCAACTGTTGTCTCTTTACCGCGGTGGAGCTGAAAAGACGAGCGCGTACTCTTCTTGGATTGGAAGTGGTTTTAGCCCCCCTTTCCATTCGGCATGAACGTCAAAATTATGTTGGCCAATGCCATGTTTGCCCGTGACAAGTCTACAAGAGATGCTTGTGGCCATCACGCATGCAAAGAACACATGGAAAATTTGTGTATTACCTGCTTGGCCGAGTAAAAATATTGTCATTTTCATACCCCCATTTCTAAGGGTTGTAATAAAGTGAATTTTTTTGTATGTATATTGGTATGTTAGGTTTAGTTTACTACATATTTTGTTAAATTTTTTGTTATTGTTTTAAATAAACATCTACGTGATATTTAAAGTATAAAAATGTAAATATTTTGTTTTTCACTTCCTATACATATATTTTGATGTAAAGTATACAGTTTA